ATTTTATATGTTGGCATATGGTGTGCCTGCGGATGCAACAGACGAGTACGTTAGAATAGGTGAGTCTACGGCAATTGAAAGTATGAAAAGGTTTTGTCGATCTATTGTCCAAATATATGGAGAGCAGTATCTAAGAAGACCTAATGACAATGACATAGCGAGACTTATTGACATTATTGGAAAACAACGTGGATTTCCAGGAATGTTGGGGAGTCTTGATTTGCATGCATTTGAAATGGAAAAATTGTCCAACAGCATGGGCAGGACAATATTCCGATCGTAGTGGCTCACCAACTATCATCCTAGAAGCTATGGCAGATTATGATCTTTGGATATGGCACGCATATTTTGGAATGCCAGGTAGTAATAATGAAGTTAATGTTTTAGAGGCATCCAATCCTTTTTTCAGATTTAGCACAAGGAATTGCTCCTCCCGCTCATTATATTATTCAAGGAAAAGAGTATAATGTCAGTTACTATTTAGCGGATGGTATATATCCAAAGTGGTCAACACTTGTTCAAACAATTCATCAACCACAAGGTAGAAAGAAGAAATATTTTGCTATGAGACAAGAAGCATGTAGGAAAGATGTTGAACGCGCCTTTGGAGTATTGCAATCCTGATTTGCAATTATCGCAGGACCTTCACGTTTTTGGGAGAAAAAAGTCTTGCACGACATCATGAGTGCATGTATTATTTTGCATAATATGATAATAGAGAATGAACGTGATATACATGCACCAGTTCCAGATGTTGAGGTGGCAGTTGATGAGGCGGCACGGTTCACTCAATTTCTTAGCCGATATAACCAAATTCATGACAAAGACGCTCATATTGAGTTCCGCAATGCTTTAATTGATCATTTGTGGAAACAATTCTCAAATTCCGATAACTAAACTAAGAATATTTATTTAATCTATTGCTTTAAGTTTAAGTAGTACTTTATTAATGACGTACAAATCATTATAATATTATTTTAATATTTAATTTTATGTGGTTTTAGCTTGTATTTGTGAAATATTTATTATTGTATTTTAATTAGTGAAATGCGTGAAAATACATATTAAAATGGTGTATTTTAGTTTGTATGTGTGAAATAATGTGTGAAATGTCAAAATATTAAATGAGGGGCTAATGTATAAGTATATGATAATTAGATACTTAAATAGAAGAATGGTAAAAAGTTAGTAAAAAGAATAAAAAGGGAATACTCCTTTTTGGTGATGAAAATGGTGTAAACTGTTGGAGATAAAATATTGTATGATGTGATATTTACACCATTTTAGTGTAAAAAATGGTGTAAACTGTTGGAGATAGTCTTACACCTCTATCATCATGTATCAGTATCACCATCATAATCTAGTGGTTATTATGCCTTGTTGCGAATTCTCTTTTAAACATTATCCAACATTGTAGAATTATAATATACTCAAATTATGTAGTTGGCTACAGATTTATATCTAATCTAAAATCTTATAAACACCGATAAAGGTTAGGGTATTTTTCTAAAATCTTATACGCCGATGAAGGTTAGGGTATTTTGGGAATGATAAAAATGTTAGTGTAACACTAAAGCATAATGCACTTGTATAATTTGTTTTAGTCATTGTACCCTTCACCATTAAATCAATTTTTACTCCTTAACTCCGTTAACTTCAACCGTTGAGTTTCCAACTTTGAGTCTCACATAGCCTTCACGTTTCAGTTACTCCATGGCTCCTTGGCTTTGCATCTTACGGTGAGTATATTACTAATTAGTAAAGTAAGTCATTTTATTTATTTAATACTTGTATGTATTTCAATGTAATTGTAATTGTGTTTCATATTTCAGACACGAGCTTTGCAGCGTATACATCAGCGGGTTATTGCCACAGTGAGTGATACTCATGATTTGGACATGTATGGACAGGCTCTGATAGGCATTGTCTCCTTGTGTTCAGATGTGTTGGGACGAGTCGACTACGGCCATCTTACACACATGCCCCCATCTCAGGAGATGTCATCGACGTCTAGTGCAGCGGCGGTTTCATCATCCCAGACGCGGCATGAGAGAGTGATTCTTCAACCACGACAACGGCGTAGACGTAGACATCAACAGCAACATCTCCATGACCAGGATGATCAAGATGACCATGAGAACTTGTAGTTTGTCTTTTGTATTGCAGTTTCTTGTACAGTAGATGTTGTAGGAACAATTTACAACATTTTACGTATTTTCTCTTGTAAACTCTTGTATGTTGTCTTGATTTGATCGAGTATGAATATTAGATAATTACTTGTTATGAATATTGGATGATTGTACTGTGTTTTACCGGTTATGAATGTAAGGTTTTGTATTCGATTTGTAAAGGGTATTTACAAGGTGTTTTGTATGTTGTTGAGAGTAGGTGTTATGTATGTGTTTGTGAAGAGATGTGTTGTATCTGGCTCGTAAAACTTCAACAAGAGAAGGGAGACCTTATTTATAGCAAACAGATGAGTCTGGGTTGAATTGGGGCAAAAAACATGCTGAAATTCTGTTTTCAGAATTAGGCACGATCGTGCCTACCCTTGCAGGCACGATCGTGCCTAGCTGGCAGTAGCTGCTGGTTATTCATATGTAAGGGGTAAGTCGTCCAACAGTAGATCGGTAAATACTTTTTTCCAGCATTATTTTCGTAATTAATTAATTAATTAACATTAATTCGAAAAAAAACTCTTATTATGGTTATTATTATGATTGCTTCAAAACTACTCCTTTGTTATTCATCTCATGTGGCCTCAAAGTTTTGGTTGCATCTCTATGTTAGGAGATGTTTTGTTCATCTTATTCTTATTGTTTATGGTCTATTCTTATTTTTATTCATTTTAGATCACAAAATTTAGATCAGATCAAATATAAGGATTTAGATCATATCAGATAAAAAAGATACACACTATATCAGAAAAATTAAGACATGATTTATTATTATTATTATTGTTGTTGTTGTTGTTGTTATTGATCATTATATATTATTATATTTACGATTAATATTATAATTATCAATGTTATTTTGGTTATTATTATTGTTGTTGTTATTATTATTATTATTATTATTTAATACTATTATTGTTTTCTTTTTTATTTTATTATAAATATAAAGTTATAAATATTTGAGAAATAATAACAGTATTCATAAATGTTGAGGTCATACTATAATATGTACTAGCTCCGTCTAACTAACATTGAGACAAGAGGAGGTGACACGGTGTATGTAGTTGACATTGAATTGATAAAGTAAGAATAAATTGGAATGATTTAGAGACACACAAACTTATCAAATTTAGTATGAGACAATCTTAGTAGGATTTTCCGAAAAGGTAAAATGAGACAATCTTAACAAAACAGAGGAATTATTAATTTCCCTTATTATAAATGCATAAGTGACAAATGGCAATGTCAATATCGAGTCACGAGTTTGATCTGGAACTTTGTATATTGTTATATGTCTATGCGTACAAGTATGAGATTACTACGAACGGGATATCTTAATCATTACTCCTAATTACCCCAATTCGATCCCAAGTAATATTTATTTGGCGATTGTAATATTTTTATTTCATATGGCATTTGAAATATACAGGAGCGATATCTTCTTGTGTTCGGATGGCATTTGAAAGCTCCTTTGCTTTTGGTAGATCTAACTTACTATCTATTAACTATATAACTTCTTCCCTTTTTACTCCCTCGGTTTTTTATCCACAATATTCAAATTTTAATCAACTCTTCAAGCATATCTCTTTTCAGCTCAAATGCATCAACAAGGCCATGATTGTGCATTGATGCTTATACATCTTGCTCCCTGCTAATGGATATCCTCGTTTACAAATTCACTACAATTTATGCATTGTTTTACTAAATGTATTGTACTAACATCCATCCTTTTTGGCTTTGAGGCCCTAAGTTAATAGATTTTTTTAATTTTCACCATTTTTTATCTTCTTGTAGATACCATATGAATTATAAACATATAACTATAGATTTATGTTGCATAAAATATATTGGGCATTATCCCAATCGCGCATGGCGCGTTACAAAAACTAGTACATAGTATATAGAATTACACTACCTCACTAAAAATGATATGGTTTCTTAGACAATAATTAATAAGACAATTTGAGTATATTTTAGGAATAGGATCATTGATGATAATTGTGATGTTATACATTCATTATTTGTAATATTTGATGATTATATTGTCATTTAGATAGGACGTCCAAATGATAGGTGCAACTTGGAGTCAAACAATTCATTCTAATCCTAATGATAGGTACAACTGGAGACTAGGGGTGGATTCAGGTTGGGCCACCCGGCCCGCTACTGTGCGGGACCGACCCGATTCTCAGGTTCGGGTCTGGGCCAAATTGATTTTTTTTTTCATTTTTTGGGGTTCCACCCGGGTTGGGCTTGATGGTTAAGAGGGGTTTGGGGGGGGGGGGGGGGGGGAGGAAAGCAAAAAAAAAAAAACCTGGAGGCCCGGGCCGGTCCCGGGTCCACCCCTACTGGAGACAAAGAATGCATTATAACTAGTGATGGACTCGGGTCCGGGTCGGGCCTAGGCCCGGCTAGGCTTTTGATTTTTGGTTGAAGGCCTGGGACCGGCCCAGGTTACCACCGGGTCCGGGCCGGGTCGGGTCTGGGTCGGACCGGGTCCATGTTTTTTTCTTCTTTTCTTAATAACCCCCGACCCCCTACCCCCCCCCAAACACCCAGCCCAACTCAGGAAAAAGCCCAAAACAATGAAAAACCCAAAAACAAAAAAAATAGAAGGCCCGAACTGGGCCGGTTCCAAAGAATGGGGTGAACCGGGACTGCCCCCGCTATTCCTACCGGTTCGGGTCAAAGCCCAGTTTTGGGACCGAAGGACCGGGTCGGTCCGGGCCCACACAGTAGCGGGTCGGGCCGGTTCACAGGTCGGGCGGCCCGAGCCGGGTCCAAGACTAATTATAACCCTATCTGTACGGTTTAACACGGCTGAAGTGATAGAGCGAAATTGTTGGAATTATGGTAAAGCTATAGTTAAAACTTAAAAGTAATGTATTGACAAAAAGAAGCAGTAGCAATAGTGCAAATGTGCAATACTACACATTTTTAAAAAGAAAGACCAAATGACCATCTTGATCTAAAGAGAACATCTGGCCTTGCTTTTTAGTTAACCAAAAAACAGTATTTGATCATAAATCTAAGTTGATAAGCCAAAAACCTGACATCCAAACGGCCACTCAATCCAAATGCCATTTTCGATAATTCAGGAGGGCAGAGTCCGTAAGGAAAGTATATACCAACAAGGCGCAAGCATCAAGCCATATTAATTTACACTCGCACTATTCTACTACCATCGACAACACAGGTTGAGATCATCATCACTGTTTTCTCTGGGGGTGTTTCATCAATCTCAGGAGATGGGAAACGCCAGCGACAACATGCAGCCTGCTGTGTGGAACACCTGTTTTTGCAAGTGCCCTTCCATTTTTGTCCAATAACACAAAGCAAGGAACATACTTTATGTCATAATGCTGAAGCTGGAGATTGTAGCATATAGCACCAAAAGATGTGTTAGTTTAAGAAATGTGGATTAATTGGTATGGAGTATGGACTAATTATCAATGCAGTATAATCTAATGGCATCAGACATATGCTGTGTTCTTCAATTGAGTTACATGTTTTGGTGTAATTAAAACCGAGATAGTTCATGGCCTATGTAGTTATGTGGCCAGTGGTTATGCATCAGCTAAAATATGTACATCTAAACTTTGTGTGTATCACTCCGTATAATTTAGAAAAAACAAGTTCCCAAACTGGATTATGCATATACATGCATTTTGGGCCTGTGGACCTATTTCTGGCAGAGATTCAGCTAGACCAGATTTAAATCCGAGTAGACCACCAGATCGGACCAGTATTAAGAAATACTACCTCTGTCTCGGCGTCTCCCTAAATTTGGTACATGATGAGTGCGGATATTAAGAAAAGTAAGCTTATATAATTGGTTTTAAATTAAAAATGTAAGAATAAATTAAGAACAATTTAGAACCACACAACCATTACCAACTTAGCGGGACAGACCAACAAGGGATAATGAGACAATCTTAGCGCGATAGAAGAATTAATACCAGACCAAACATAAACAAATTAGTTCAGACCATACTGCAACACAACTTTCAATCCAAATGACCAGTTATATCTTAGGAATATATGCGTTATGTGACACATAGTTTACTTCAACCAGTAACCCAAGTTAAGTTAATATGGAACCTGATCCAACTCAACCTTTACAATAATAAAAAAGCCATCATCAACTAGCAAGCAGGCATATATCTTTAGTGCACAAGATAAGATAAAACACCACTAGTCTCTTAAATAGATACATGGAACTTGAAAAGCAACTATTTAAAGAAAATCCCTTTTACACTACAAATGGAACCTTTACACCTCCAACAGATCCATCAAATTACGGCAACTCATATAAGGTGTATTTCTCAACAAGTATTACTATGGTGATACAAGACTAGTGATCAACTATATTGGCATCAAAATAACAGAAAACATTGAACACCCATTAAGGCTAAATTTGGAACTCGTAAAATGGTAGCGAAAAGATAAAAACACCAGGAAAAAGATTTTTTTTGTTTGGTTAACTTTGGAAAATATGAAGGACAGTCAAATTTGACTCAATAAGTTTTTTGAAATTTACATATATATATATATCCTTATGTCTATGTGTAATAGAAATACTAAAATAAATAGAATTTGAAAAAAAATCTATAATTTGTTATTGAGTTTAAAGCTTTTTTTCAGCCAACTTTCTTCTAAAATGGTCCCTATTTTCTTTCCATTGCATCTTACAAGTCCAAAATTTATCAAAGGCTATGTTTGAATCCGGGAAAGTAAGGGAAAGGAAATGCTAAAGAAAGTCATTTTATTATGTTTGGATTTACCAAAAATGCATAAGATTGGCTATGTTTTTATATCATTTACAAATGCTTAGATTGCTCAGTATTTGGACGATAGAAATTAATAAATAAGTAAATCAATAAATACCTGAAAAAATACTACTAATAAATTTATTGATTTTGAAACAATGTCTTACACTTTCTCTCATAGAAAACTTCACCTATACACCCCCAGTCTATTCTTTCCCTACCATTTACCTTATTCCAACATGTCCCTAAGTTAAAGGAGAAAGAAAATGGAAAATTACCGGAAGTAATGCAAACTAAAAGCTTTCGAAATAGAAGATGTCTACCTCAGGCAGCCACTGATCATTCTCTGCATCAGCGAAAACAACGCTGAGCCAACCCGAGTTCCGCTTCTCAACTTCATTAACAAAATTAATCAAAGAATTGCAGAGTTGGCACTTGGGGGAGTAGAACTCTAACACCGTAGCATCTTTATCGCTGGCCAGCGCTGCCGCGAACGCACTCTGCTCGGCCTCTGATTGTTCCGCCGGGGTCAATTTCTTCCTCGCCGTCAGCTGGGGGGGTTTCAATATGGGGATTTGGAAGGGCAGCATTCTGGACTTGGGCGCGTTGTGGATGAAATTTACAGCCAACGAAGTCAAACTCTGGAACGATTTGAAAAGCCATGGTGTTTCTAATGTACAGGGAGTTGTAGGGTTACTCTGGTTAGGGATGACAGTATCCCACGGCCATTTTAAGCAGAACAGTGGGTGCTTGGAGTTTGGGTTCTCCTTGTCCATATAGGGTTTGGTCTTAAATCTTAATATTCGGTTACACTTGCTGGCATAGCTCCGACGGCGAGTTCAATTTGGAAGTGAACCAAAACTAGCGTCCCCGTCGCAGCCGAAGATTACCAATCCCGTTTAATACTATCCTCCGTTCTCTAGGGTGCATGTAGGCGCATCAAAAGTTCGGGTATCCAATATTCTGCCGTACTCTTTAAAAGTTTCCATTTTTTTGTTATATTTTAAAATTTTGGATACTTTAAAATCCAAAAAAAATTCTCAAATCCAACTGCAGTATCAACTTAAAAAAAATTCAAAAAAAAACACTCAAAATTTACATAATAAAATTCTTTAAAAAATGAAAAGTAAAAAAAAAATTATCTTGCTTTCATGTGGTACACAACTAATGGACATATTCCTAATTCACTCATCCTTCTATCCCTAATTCTAATTATCCCCGAAAATTAATAGCTCCAACAGAAATATATATTAGAACTTTTAAAATATTGGTTTTTATCTTCATTATTCTAGAACTTTGAGTACTCGCGCTTTTAATTTCAAAACTATAGTTGTTTTACTTATTTCCCATTTTAAATGGATGACTCATTGACTATATTTATATTTCGAGATACACTAGTGTATATGAGATAAAATATGAATTTATTTCTAGGTATTCTGAAATGTAAAATGCTTCAATGCCATGGATGGGTAGACGTTAGAGGATAATATATGAGTATTTTTCAAAACCAATTATTTTTTTAATATTTATAAATACACCCCTATAACTTTTAATATTTATAAATACACACTCATAAATTTTAATATTTATAAATATGGTCCTGTATCTGTATCCTACTTTTTTTGTTTAGTCGTATCCTCATACCCGTTTCCGCGTTTCCACATTTCCGTGTACCCGTATCGGTGTTACATAGATGCAAAGTGCTCTAACCAAAATAGAATACGATATATCCGAAAAAAGATCTGGGAAAATATCACAAATAAACTTAAAAGGGAAAGTAATGCTCCATATCAATTTTGTCACCTTTTGAATTTTCTTTCAAAAATAAACTCACCAAAATTTTCTTTTCAGAAATAGATCATAGATATCGTTGAAATTAGAAATCCAAGCCACTGCAACGCTGAACGCTCAAATAGAGGGACCAACACGCGTAGCAAGATACCCTTGTACAGAAAACGGCGGTTCTTCAGATTCCATTAGAGAAAACAGAGTTCGTATACCATGGTACCGGGATACCATGCGCATGGTATACCGGTACCAAATACGATACTGTTTCTCTTTTCTTCAGAGCATTACGGACTTTCTTTTCCTTCAATCCACTACAGGTTTTCTCATCCTAGGAGCACTACGTATCTTTTACTTTGTTTTCTCTCAAGCCTCCAGGATTCTTTGTCTTTATTTTTTTTTATTTTCTTCAATTCTTGTCCACTCTTCACCAAAAACTAAAAATTAATTGTAATTTTACTTATCTTTATCTTTAACTAATAAAATCACAATTGAAGTAACTTTTTTTCTTTACTAATTTATTACAAAATTTTGTTAGTTAAATAAAATAAGTATATTAGTATATATACTAATATGATTTCTTTTTTCTTCAACTGAAATTACTACCAAATTTATTTTTTGTGTAATATTTTTTTTATACACTTTTTTGGTAAATACTTTTCATATTCATACACTTTTGTCTATACTTCTTATCACTTTGCAAAAAAAGATATATTTCTTTCTATTATGTATTTAGTGATTTCAAGACATTAAATTTGTTTATTTCAATTTAAATTTGATAAAACATGAAATTACATTTTTCACATGTGTGAGTTATGTTAATAAACAACTTTTGGAGTAACATTTGATAGTCTTTTTTGGAGTTACAGCTTCTTCTACACGCATTACATCTTCTTATGCGCGGGTTACATCTTAAAAATGATATAGCTTTAAAAATCATTTTTATCATTAGCAAGGGTTTATTTCGTAGTGTTACTCGCGTACATTAAGATGTAACTCATGCGTAAACAGATAACTCGCGCATAAGAAGATGTAACCTCACATAATATTGAATGTAAACAATGAAAATAAGGAATTTAGTTGTTCAATTAATTTAAGTAAAGATTGAATATGTTTGGTTTTTAAGATTAAGGCAATAAAAGTTTTTTAAGAAAAATCATTTTTTTTGCCCAAAAAAGTTATTTTACAAAAAAGTTTTTGTTTTGTTTCAATAGCATTAGTTTATTTTGTGATGTAACTCGCGTTATGGAAACAATAAATCGCGTTGATGGAAAATCTAACTTAGGTGTATGCAAAATGTAACTTGTTAATGCAAATTCAAATGTAACTCGCGCATAGGATGATGTAGCTCATGCATAAACAAATGTAACTCGTGCACAAAAAGATGTAATTTCATATACTATCAAATATAACTCCAGAATTAGTGTACAAACATTATTCACACATATGAAAAACGTAATCTCATGTTTTATCAGATTTAAATCGAAATAAACAAACTTAATGTCTTAAAAACGTTACAAACATATAAAATAGATAAAATAATTTTTTTAAAAGTGTATGAATATGAAAAATATTTTACAAAAAAGTGTATAGATGTAAAAAAATATTACACCAAAAATAAATTTGTAGTGCTTAATTTATGTGGATTAGGAAACTTTTGTAATAAATTGGTAAAGAAAAATAATAATTCAATTTTAGTTTAATTAGTTCAAGATAAATACAAGAAAAATCATAATTAGTTATTAATATGTAGATAGAGAGAAGAAAATAATTGAAGAAAACAAAATAGAAAAATAAAGAGATAGTGCTCCAAAGAAATCTGGAGGGCTCCAAATAATTTAAGTTTTGAAGGAAAAGAAAGGAAAGAAACGTAGTGCTCCAGACTCCAAAGAAGGAAAAACGGTGACGTATGTGGTAGTGGTATACCATGTGCATGGTATACTCATACCACTGTATAATTTGCCGAGAAAACATTATCTCTCACACACACACATATCGGAAGGCATCGAGTGAATTGCCGCTGCAAAACTATACCTCCACCTTTACGAAATCTTCATCGTTGTTGTTGGCGACGATTTATCGCGGAAGCACTGATTGTTTGTCAGAAGCAGTGTAGATCCAGAACCCGTCGGGAAGTTTTGGGAGCTCTTGGACAATCTAGCAGGTTCAAGGATTGACATATTAACCTAAAGTTTTCTAAAATTATTTGTGAGTTGACATTGATTCTATAATTGAATTTAAGTGTTCTTTGTTTATTGTAACATATCTATATACTTTTATATAGTTTGTGAGCTGATCAGTTGATTTTCCAATTTGAATTTAAGACTCATAAACTGGAGTTTAAGATTAGCAAGTTCTCTAGTAATGTTTCTCTATTGTATTTGTACTAGCACAATAAGTACTGATCTCAGAAGATGGATTGTGGTCAGATTATGCATGTTACCAAATTAGCTCTTGAACCTGCAAGTTTCCTCTAGTTTATTGTTGAATATTATGATAATAAGTAAGTTTTCAATAACTTGTGCTTAATTGAATACAAACCCCTGTTGAACAGGATCTAACTTAATGCCTGGTTCTTCCTCTTCTCCTCTCTTGAAACTAGAATAGTGCTCTGTTTGTCTTTATTTCTAAATGATGAACAGGAAGAAACATGGAATAATTCTCTTTTTCAACACCCCCAACAGTTAGTTTGGTTGGCGTAGCCCGTTGTAGAAGCCCCGTGTTTTTTAACTTGTTTTGTGGAGTTGAGCATCTTCTATTCGTTGGGATAAAGCTTTTCATAGAGTTTAGTGAAGGTGCTTCTAATGATTAAGAGACCATTGCTTCTCCATAGAAGAAACCAATAGGTCATGTAATCAAGTTTGATGAAGAACATTTTACTTTTGTGAAATTTGACTAGAAGAGGCGATGGCAGAGACCTACATATTTTTTGTTTTTGTTTTTCATGTATCTTATTTTTTATTTTAATTTTTTTAATATTTTAGTTTTTCTAATTTCTATTTTTTATTAATTTTATTTAATACTTATTTTGCAAATTATTAATAAAACTACTTTTTTTGCAAATTATGTTTTAATTATAAATTATAAATAAAAATATGAATGGTATAATAGCATAAGGAAATTTTCATTTAGTCCTATTTAGAAAATTTTCTCATAAAACAAACATCTATCGAATAAGAAATTACACAACCAAACCAAATCGGATAAGAAATTACACTCCAAGTAAACATCCTTAATTCGACTTCCAAAATATAAAACAAATAAAAATGGATTGTACAAAGTAAAAAGAAAAATTTATGAAATATGAGTAAACATGTTTGAGAATTTAAAAATAGGACTGTCTTTATTCCCTAAATGAGAGTATTACGGTCAAGCTTGAAAAATACAGTCATGTATAAAGTCTGATGACGCCAAAAGATGACAGTAATTACTCTTATTTAGGAAATACTCCGTAATGTATAAAGTCTGATGACGCTAAAAGACGACAGTAATTACTCTTATTAAGAAAATAAAAACACGATAATTCAATTTTAATACTTCATCCGTATTTAAAAGTTTCGTACACTTTCCTTTTTAAGTTTTATTTAAAAGTTTCCTACACTTTTCTTTTTGGGTTGTATTTAAAGTTCCCTACACTTACATTTTTGTTAAATTTATCCTTTATAAAATACGAAGTACTTGACTACCCTTACTTTATCTACTTTTTATCTTCTCTTTCAAACTTTACACACTCTCTCTTACCTTTTCTATACTATTCACTACCCCTACTACTTTACTCCTTAAAGCATGTGTCCAACATCTACCTCTATATAAAAAGAGGTGGAAAAACAGCCCATTTTCCCGCCTAAAGTCCCGGATCAAAGATTGCTAGAGTACAGTTCGGATCTACTGCAGGGGTCAAAGATTGGGTCGGGTTGCTAGAGTACAGTTCGGGTCTACTGCATGTATAATACCAGTGCAATGAGTTTGAGTATTAAATGCATACCAGGCAGTCAATTCGAAGTCTGAACAGAACAAATTACATTGGTTATTGAATTCAACCAACTCGAGGAGCATTTTATCTACTAAAGTTGCATGTTAAATTCAATATGTAGTTAATAAATCTTTTTTATTTTGATTTTGATGTCAAAAATAGTAAGGATGCATTAAATGTAAAGTGACAGGCTAGTGAGTGGTTCGAGTTATCATGCTGAAGTAACGTACACATATACGGAGTAAGATACAATATTGTTTATTTGAACTCTTTTGATATGTGATAGCAAAAATAGTAAGGTAACATTAAATGCAAAGCACTCAGGTCTGAATAAACTTAGTGACAATCTCAAGAAATTAACGTATTGTCTAATCTTGGACATTGTCCAACAGATAAATGAATTTCTTAGTACTCCTATTATTTTTTGGGAGTGAAATATTACTCCCTCCGTCCCTAATTTATCTTCTAAGTAGATTTGGCACACAGTTTAAGATAGTGAGTATTGTGTGGTGAAGAGTTGTAGTATAGAGGAGAAAGAAATGTGTAATAATTGTTGTGAACCACAAATTTTTTGTCAAAAAGGGAAAATGGAAGTTTTAATTGGGATGGACGAAAAAGGAAAGTTGAAAGTTTATTTAGGGACGGAGGGAGTACTTAAGACAAGAGTACACACCCTACAATAAACCACTATAAATACAACCCCTTTTGGTCAACACTTCACCGTAACACATTTCAGAGCATTGAGAGATAGTGTTGTTAGGACCATAGCTTAGTAATGGCAGATACTTCGAAACAGTACGTGGTCCATGATCATATATGGCCAATAAGTCAATAACAAGTATAGTTTTACAAAGTGGCTTCACAGCCAAGGGAGCACGATGGAGAGGTATACTCTAAGGCATTTTACTTTGTATATTGTGATTTGTGATGACTGATTGCGTTAAATTAAAAACACATGGTAACAATTCATGTCCATACGTAATCTATTTCTGGAGGGGGTCGTATTCATGCAATGGTGGTTCGAGACAACGTTTAAAAGAACTTCTCCTTTTTACCTAATTTACTAAATTCATTAGTCAAATGTACTTAACATCACTGTTGTATGTAATTTATAACAGTAAAAGTTTTCTTTCCAAGAAACACTTACAAGTTTACAAGAGTAAAATGCTATGGTTTAAAATACGGAGTAGAACATTTCGAATTTTCGATTTTGTGTGCATGGTAGATGAAAAATTCCTTATGTATACGCTGGGTTTGGCTTTTACGAATTAAAATGGGTTAACCAAGCTAAAGTCAAAATGTATATATTTATCTTACAAGTTTTAAGGGAAAAAGACTTGAATAGGATCAAAACAAGGCTTAGGAACGTAAATAGGACCCCCTACTTTTTTAACTCTAAATAGGACTCATTTTTTATAGAAGGACAAAAACACCCCTAAATTAAAATGAGGCTGCTTGCAAAGTAGTTGTTGTTCTGCCATCATACGCAGGTAATGCAGCAACCATTCAACTCATCCGCATGGCAAGACGGTAAGACCCATCGATGACCAAATTCTTCTCTGTCAATTGCAAATCACTCTGCGTTTATTGCCGATCTACTGCAGGTTGTCGCCGGAGCGGTTGCCTTCACAAGACATCACTGAAGTGGTTGCCGGCGTGAGTTATTGACCATGAAGACGGGATTGACCATGTTCACTGGCGGTTCGTCACTGGTTGCCATCGGAGTTATCACCAGAGCGGCCACTGATGGCAGAATGGACAGCCTTCTCCAGTTCTCCTCCTCCTCCTCACTTCTTCCTCTATTCCTCCCCAAATTTCTTCTGTGCTCTGTTAATCTGTTATCCTGCTACCCGTCTTCAACTTTAGTTGTTTTAACTTTTGCCTTTTAGTTTTTCAATTTTATTTTGGAGATTTATTTAACGAAAGTTATTTTATTGGAGATTTACTTTATCGCAATATTTAGCCAAATCGCATAATTCCGATATCAATAATTTTATTTTGGAGATTCATTGAACTTGGTTAATAAATTGACTTTATATATTGATGGTATTTATTGCAATACTTTACTAAATGACTTTAAATTAAATTGATAAGTTAAACATTTGAGGAGAATGTTGAACACTAAAATGTTAAAACAAACCACATTCTTTTTGTCCATGGCAAAAACTATTGACAATGGCGTTGCAATGTCATTGTCAATAACAAAGTATAATCTCATCGTATAATAATGAATATTGTTATTGAAACAAAGAATACAATGTCAAAAGAACGTTACAATACCGTCAAATATGTCACTATTAAAACATTATCGTTATAAACAATTTCAAATAAATATCAATGTTATCAAAATGACATTGCAATAAAATGTCAATAATAATGTCATGACAATGTCATGCCATAAAAATGAAATTGTTAAAACAATATAATGTCACAATATCAAAAACATTGTTAAATTGTGCTAAAAAGTCAGAATATTAGAAAATGATATAATATCAAATAATGATGACATTATTCACATAAAAAAGACATTGTGGTCATGACAATGACAATATCGTGACAATGTTTATATCCATGTCCGATCACGATATCGTGACAGTGTTAATGCTATAAACATAACATGATAAAAAACAATGTCAATATCACAAAATCATAAGTATTGTAAAAATGAAAAAATGTTACAATGTCGTAAGAATATCAAAATGTCAAAAAAATTACAATGTCAAGAAAAATCATACAATGTCAAAAAAATTATGCAATGTCAGTACTATATAAATGACATTATAATGATGAGAATATCAATGCTATAAAAATGACATTATTAAAAACAATGTCGATGTGTCATTATTGTAAACATTGTTAAATAGAAAAAAATGTGACAATGTTAACATAATTTATTAGTATTATTTATTTTGTTCACTATTATAATTAAGAATTGGGACAATGTCATGACAATGACGAATTCGTGAATGTCAATGACAATATCGTGAATGTCAATCATTATAAAAATTACATTGCTAAAAATAATGTCAATGAACGCCTCTCTTTGTGCTTTGGTAGCTGCCGTTGCTCAAGTGACCCACTGCACATGGATCTTTAGCAAACGCTATTTCTGTTACTCATGCCACCTCTCCCAACAGCTCTTCAAGGACCTCCACTGTAAAAAGAAGAAGCTGCAATGTAAAGAAATGACATCATGTCAAGATAAAATGTTAGAATGTCTAAAATTATCATTATAAGCATTGTAAAAAAACAACAATGTTAGACCAATGCTACACCAATGTCAATTCTTCAACAATGTTGAAAACGGGAGATTTGAAAACAATGCCAATAATATTGACACAACTAAAGTAACATCACATAACATTCTTCAATTTAATTTTAAAAAATATTTTTCTAACAAAAAGTCAAGAAAAAGAGAAGGGAACACAAGAAGAAAAAATAGAGGAAAAAGTCAGAGAATAAACAGAGGAAAACGGCATGTGAACAAACGAAAAAAAGAAAAGAAAGAAACACAGGAAGAAAAAACAGAGGAAAAAGTCAAAAAGGAAAGTCGAAACAGGAAAAAGAGAGTAGCTCTAACAGAGAAGCAGCTTCACAAAGAAAGAAGACAGAGAATAGATCTGGCAACTTCTTGCACAATGAAAAAAAAAAATTAGTTTTTAAAATTAGTAATGTAGTGAACATTAAAATACGGAAGAGTATATACAAATGTTTTTAGGGGGGTGTTTGGAACCGATTCTGATTCTGCTTCTTTTTTAAAGAAGAAGCAGAATTAGTTTTCAGAAACTAGTCTCCCTCGGCTCCAAAAAAACTGATTTTGGGAGTAAATTAGTATTTTTGCCTTTTCCCAAAACACTTCAACTTCTTGTTCTGCTCTTTAAAAGAACAAAAACACTTTTAAGAATCACATCAAACACCCCTTACTCACCAATTTTTTCAAACTAAAACCTAGAGTCGTAAATGTGGTAACGAATGTGGGCTTTATTGGGAAGATGAGATTAACGAGGCTATTGCTCTCATGGTTTCCATTGCTTCTCACTTGGAAGCAATGGGATTTCCCCATCACACTATGTGAAGCCAATCCTCAGGCCGAATTCCTCTACGACGTCGTAATCAGCTCTGCACTCTCACACAATGGTGATAATGCTCTCTCAGCAGAGTGGCCCGAGCTGCACAAATATCCTTCCTCCTCTTCTTCTTCTTCCTCAGTTTATGTTGGTCCACAGAAAGGGTCGATGGAAGCTGATAAGATCGTTTCCCTGCCGGACCAACCTCTCGGAGTGGAGTTTGACCAATATTCAGGCTATGTGACGGTTGACCCCACGGCTGGAAGATCTTTGTTTTATTACTTTGCTGAATCTTATCGGAATTCCTCTGCCAAGCCTCTGGTCTTATGGCTCGCTGGAGGTATGCACCTTACCATTGATGGCATTCGCTCTCTGAATATCTCTGCAAAATATTTAGTCTTCATAAGAGACCCTTCAAATATTCGCTCTCTGAATATCAAAGTCCAATTTTTATTCTATAACTTTTTTGATGTACTATAAATTCCTATTTTATATTTCATACATTTTAATTCAAAACCTACGAAATGATAAAAATATAATAACATAAAATAAAACATTAAAATATTAATAAAATCTTAAATGAAATATTGATGTAAAAACATATATATAAAGTATGAATATAAAGTCTAAATGTAAACTTAATTTTCATATTTATATTTTTTTATTTTTTATTTATATATTTTTTTTTAATTTTTATATTTAATTTATTACAATTTTGACACTTTTTAATAGTTTAGGGGGTCATTTGATCAAATGTGACGGGTTTAGGGGTTTATTTGAGCTTTTAGTTTCAACTTCAAGTGCACATGTGGCAATCCTGGTGACGTGGCGGGTGACCGGTTGGTTACCTGTAAAAAATGAAATTTGAACAATTTTTTGCTAGTTCAAGGTGTGAATTGAACCTTTTTTTAGTTCAGAGGCTGAATTGAGCTTATACGACCAGTTCAGGGCCTATTTGACCATTTAGACTAAAAAGTTATTCTAATTTAGATCCACTTTGGACGTGGACCTAACTTAATTGCTATTTTGCCTTTTCCCCAGCATTATTAAAGGCTCAAACATACCCTTAAGGCCTTAAGACATTGGGTTTATGATTGATCCCCTGCATAATCAATACTTTGTAGCAACTGTTGGTTAAGTTTTGTATTTGGTGGTGATGCAGGACCAGGATGCTCATCCTTTGGATATGGATCATTTCTACAACTTGGACCTTTCAGAGTTCATAGTGACGGAAAAACATTGTACATGAACGACTATTCTTGGAACAAAGGTAAGCAATCAAACTCTGCTTGGATCGGATAAGCTAATTAAGTTAAGTAAAGGATATGAAGGGAGGTGATAATATTACTCTTTCCTTACCAATTTTATAGTCTAGTTTGAACTCCATATCTTTGATGTCATAGAAATACGGAGTATGTATTAATGAGAATCATAGTTCTGTGATTTTTTCAAAAGTATACACGTACTACTTTTAAACAAATTGTTCAATAGTATCTTTCATATGGTGTTGAAGTCCACACCAGAAAAATATGAAGTTAGAAAATGATATATATTAAGATATGTGCTATTTTTCCTATCAGATTAACCTTTTAGAATGGAACCTTGAGTTTTAACATGATATCAGAACAAAAATCATTCATAACCATAGTGTGAGCCAATAAAAAATGATGACTATAAAAATGACAATGGTGAACCGATGAAAAAATAAAGGGAAAACTGTCAAATATGTCCTCGAACTTTCATAAAAAGGTCAATTAAGTCCTTCTATAGGAGGTTCTGTCCGGCCGTCGCGATTTGGGGCAGTTCCCGGTAGAATTTTTGATGAAATTTTTTGAGCATCTTATTCACCAAGTCTAGTTTACTCATACCAAATTTCAGCTAAAAATTCAATCGGGAACACATTCAAATTAATTCTTGAAGATAACTGCGCATTTTTGCGTTCTCGAATTAATTTGAATGCGCTCCCGATTAAATTTTTAGCTGAAATTTGGTATGAGTAAACTAGATTGATGAATAAGATGCTCAAAAAATTTCATCAAAAAATTCCACCGGGAACCGCCCCAAATCGCGACGACTGGACAATCTCCTATAGAAGGACTTAATTGACTTTTTTATGAAAGTTCGAGGGCCTATTTGACAGTTTTCCCAAAAAAAATGATGACATGATCTAGACGACGTGCCTGGTTGTGAGAAGGGTTGTTGAAATCTCATACTAGAAAAAATATGAAGTAATAAAGTGATATATTAAGATTCTCCTTTCAAGATGACCTATTAGGATAGAACCCCGAGTCTTAACACGTACGGAGTATATATTTAAATTTTTTATGAGATCAGATATGAAATGTCACACTTAATGAAGCCTCACTTAAAAAATGAAATTGGAACTGTGGGACTATTGGATTATGACTTCCCCTTTTAGGATTATAGAAATACAAAGGCAAACTCAATAAATCAATTTCAAGTATATGTATCAAGAATCTTGATCATGTTTTATTTTTCTTTGTAAATTACAATGTAAGGCAAAACATATGGAAATTATATTTAACTTGGCATTTTTTCAATGCACCTAGCATATCTGTTCTTCCAAATGCTGTTTAGAGTAGTAAAACATTCCAGACAGAATCTAAAATTATAATTGCTGAGGTTTGCTGCATATGTTTGAAATGACAGTGGCAAATGTACTGTTCCTGGAATCTCCGGCTGGTGTGGGGTTTTCCTATTCCAACACAACCTCTGACTATAACACCACTGGCGACAAGAGAACGGCGGAGGATACATATACCTTTCTAGTTAACTGGTTTGAGAGATTCCCGCAGTACAAAACCCGGGATTTTTACTTAACAGGAGTGAGCTATGGTGGTCGTTTTGTGGCACAGCTGGCTTACACCATTGTAGCCCATAATCAGAATCCCAACCAGACATTCATAAACCTCAAAGACATTGCTGTGAGTCATTTATAGTGTTTTTTGATCAACCATGGAATTTTTCTAATGTTCCTACAAGTTGTTTTTTGCAGATGGGGAATCCTTTTCTGGACCGTCATTTACTTTTGAAAGGGAACTTAGAGTATCTATGGACACATGCAATGATTTCAGATAAAACTCATGCAGCAATTAACAAGTACTGTGACTTTGACAATGCAAACTATTCTGCAAGTTGCAAAGAGTACATCTCCAAAGGTCAAAATGAGGTTGGGCCTGTGCTTAGAGATAACATTTACTCTTCTGCCTGCACACAAGATGCACTGAAACCCCAATCTCCTGTTTCAGTAAGTCTTTGTTTTAACCATTCTGCTGTATGATATGATACTCTAGTTAAACTCATCTTACAAAGCCAATGCTAAATGAATGTGATCTGTGAAATGCTGATGAAGGGATATGATGAATGCTCACGCAATTATGTTGAGGCTTACCTCAACCGGAAGAACGTGCAAGAAGCATTGCATGCCATCAATACCAATTGGACACTTTGCAGGTATTCGAGTCTACACAATCAGAACCGATACATATCAGGATAATGTTGAGGTTCCTCAACATAAAGATTGAATTCAATCTGTTAGCTAGTTCAAATCAGGGATTCTTGATGTGGAATTCTATCAAGAACCAAAAGCATTTTCCTTTTAAAGTGTAAAACTACCCCGATAGTATATACACCTCAAGCAATCCAACTATCCGAGTTAAAGATCAAACTTTTTCTCAAGAACAAAAAAAGACGAGCTTATAAAAATATCAATGAGAGAAATAACTGAAATCTTTATGCAGCAAATATATCGGTTGGGGGACATGGAAAGATTCACCTGATACTGTGCTGCCCATTCTCAAGCAGCTCATTGCAAATAAAGTAAACATATGGATTCTAAGGTAAGCCCACAAGTACCCCTCTTCATACACAGACCCAAACTTCGAACCTAGAATCTATAGGATAACATTGTTACTAATGCCCCAAAAATAACGCAGCGGGGACATAGATGGAATTATATCAGTAACAACAACCAGGCTTGCAGTAAATGCTATGCAGCTTGCTGAGGTGACTGATTGGCATCCATGGCTTTCTAACCAGGTACTTATGAATCTTTTAAGTACTTTGAGTGGGAAGAATGCCTCTGCTGAAGCAAAGAATTTATCCCTGCACAAATATAATTTGCAGGAGGTGGGAGGATATGTGGAAGGGTATAAAGGGTTGACACTGGTTACAATACGAGGAGCGGGGCACGAATTTGCAAGCTACCAACCAGAACGGTCACTGGCTGTAATTTCATCTTTTCTTCAGAACAAACTCCCCCCAGCTGTTTAATTGGCTACAACAAGTTTCTTATTTCCATTAAAAATAATAATATCACCTGTTGGCATTGATGTAGCAAAGAGAAAGAGGCACTAATTGAAAATTGATGTAAAATGCTTACATGTGAGATTAGATGTGAAGTAATGACTTTGGATGTGAAATGTAGGGGTATAAATAGAGTTTACATTGTTTGATTTGGTTATTAATGTAAACTGTGAGACACTTTTTAAAACATTTCACATTGTGTCACATAAAAACTTTTACGTGGGTGAGAGATGCAAAACACTTTTAATGTTTTTAAAATTACCAAACAAGCCCTTTGAGACTAACTTTTTATCTCTTTATACATACTGTTGGGAGCGACTATGTAGATACACAATACTTGATAACTTCCCAAATTAGGTTATTATCATTATTGTTTGATTTTGGCAGGTCTTTAAAAAGTAAAATTTTATGATTCAGCTTTACTTTAATAAGGAAAAATATACTCACATAATTATATATTTAAAAGAAATAAAAAGTTCATTTGTAGATGAACAGAAGAATGATTTTTCATTCAGACAGGTAAGGAAAACAAATAGAAGTACAATTGTACCTTTGAGTCTTTGACCCGTTAAATGTTCTTATAACTTGGCGTGCTTTTGACATGATTATTTCGTTACAATGGAAGTGAGAATAAGGGAGTGTTTGCAATTGCTTCAACTTAAAAAAGTGATTTTTTAAAGTGATTTTGGGAAAAGTGATTAAGGGAGTGTTTGCGATTGCTTGTGCTTTTTAAAAGTGATTTTTTGAAGTAATTATTGGAAAAATGATTTGTGGTAAAAGTTGGTAGTGTTTGAAAATAGAAGTGATTTTAATTCAAATGTAAAAGTTGGGGTGTTTGATAAAAAAGTGATGGTAATGTAATATTTTTCTGAAAAGTACAAAATTATCCTTGAATATCCTACATTCCTACCCATCTCTACGCCGGAAGAGCTCCTGACCAGCTTTGCCTTCCACTTCGCAACTTTCAGCTATGTCCTAAATTTGGTATGTATATGTGTATATAAAATGGCAATATCATTAATTATTTAACATCAACAAAAACCATATAAGCCGACAAGTCAATCCCTCTGCTGTCCAGAATAGCACCGACCCTATCCTGTGTTTCTTCTTCAAGCCAATCGTCCACTCAGATAAGGTGGAGCCGTGGAGGTCAAAAAAGAAGAGAAAATATTTTTTTGTTGTTGGATCTCAAATAGTTGGTGGCGGCTTGGATCTCAAATACATGTCCTCAATGATGAACACACAAAGTCGGTAGAGAGTTGGGAGGTAGCAGACAGAGACAGAGGGATAAGGGTATTTTGGGTTAAGCTGGCATTATAACTATCCTTAGAGTTAGGTTTATTTACCAAAAAACCTAGAAGCAGATAAAAGCACCCCAACCTAGCTTCCAACTTTTGGCTTAAAACAACTTAAATTAAGCAGAAATTTTCATTTGCAAACACTACTTTTGACTTTTTGAAAGCTAAAAGTCCAAAAGTGCTTAAATTAAGTAATGGCAAACACTACCTAATAGTAAAAGTTGGTAGTGTTTGAGAAAAAGTGATTCTGAAAAAGTGAAACTTGGTAGTGTTTGGTAAAATAAGTACTTTTGTGTAATAGAAAAAGTGAAAAGCAGTTTAAAGCACTCTTCCACCTGCTTCCAGCTTTTAGCTTTTAAGTGATTAATTTAAACAGAAGCTGTTATTTGAAAACACTCTTTTTAGCTTTTTTTCAAGACAAAAGCTGAAAAGCACTGTTTTTAAGCTACCCTAAACACTGCTTAAGTTTTGTAAGTGCAACATTAACCTTTTTTGTTTCACAGTTCGCACTATTTATAATTGAATACATCTAGATTTACATTTGTTTTACACATTTTTATGCACATTCTTGTGTGACATGTATTTAGTGGTGATGAAATGCCAAACAACATTTTTCAACCAATAAATAAAAGTTAAATGGGAATCATACTAAAATGTAAAAACAAATTTATACCTAAACATACTATTTATAAATTACTATTATAATTTGAGGTTAAAACTTCTAAGAGTTTATTAATTATCTCACTTATATGATACCGAGGACTATTGGTCAATAGTGGCAGGGATGAAATTGATGGGTTTTTTTTCTTAAAGAAAATATGTATGGTTTTGCATTGAAAAGGTAAATATGTTATGCAATAGTTCTAATAGTTATGTAATCAGAGTCATAAAAGTCTTTATTTGTATAATATTTTGAAATTTATTTGTTTAATGTACTTTTTTTTGGATAAAAAGAAAGTTTTATTCAAGGAGGAGCAAAGTAGAGTACTTTGTGAAAGGGAAAAAGAGAAAGAAAAAATGAAAAAGAACGACAAAAGCCCGACCCTAAGAACAAAAAACCCTATCCGTAAAAGATAATGAGTTAAGTCAAGGCAACTCCACATGTGATTGAGGCCTCGTTCTCATGGAATGTGATTGTTGATGCTTTTTTCTGTATATTTTCATTTGAGTGTTGAGATTTTGGGTGGACACACAGTTATCTTTCATGACAAACCGAGCTTTGTTGCATATGTTCTGATTTGTGTCTGAGTCCCATAAATCCTCTAATGCTGAGATGGGAGTTCTCTTCTCGCTCTTCGAGGCATGGCCTAGAAAATCATCTTCCGAGTATGATAAAATCTTCTCTCCAAATACTTCCTAATAGACAAAGCATTGATTACTTGTGAATGCATCTCCCGAGATATGATTGATATGTTAATCTTCTCACTCCATGTGCTCGTTAGTGAGCATGTTACATGCTCGTTAAAATTATTGTCCTACATGCGATTATACTCTCATAAAATCTGAATACCAAATACAAAGTAGGGATGAGTCGTCCGAAAAAATTGAAAACTGAAAATTGAATAAAAATGAATCCAACTAAAACCAAATTAAGCCGACGTGCAAAAAAACGAAACCGAATATAAAGATCGAGAAGATGTTTTCGATATTCATCTATCAAATACTATGTAGATATTCATCTATCGAGAAGGCGTTTTCGATATTCAATATCGACAAGACGTTTTCGATATTCAACATTGAGAAGATGTTTTCGATATTCAACATCGAGAAGACGTTTTCGGTATCCAATATCGAGAAAAAGATCTCGAGATACAACATCGAGAACCTCACCTTCGAAATGTTTCTCAATTTTCTAAATTCAAACTTTTCGACATGCTGCACTGTTTTGGCCATTACTTTTGACTCGGTGATCCGATTTACGCGTATAATACCTTTTCGGAAAGCTCATGAAAAGATCTACATGAATTCTATTGGTATGATTATACTTTGCTTCTACAATTATGACATCCTCTAATTATTAGGAATTAATACAAAATGATCTATTTGTTTTCTTTATTATATGGTGTACTGTTTCATTATTTGTCTTTCCACTTCTTTCTTTACTCTCTATTGACCTCTTTTTTACGGGTCAACTTCCTTTTTGTTGCCACAAATTAAAGTTTTTGTCACAAGATTTTGTTGTAAAGAACTTGAAGATTTCCATTTAAACCCATTTTGATGTAAAGGAACCAAAGGTTTCGTTTCATTTTTTATGGAAGATGGGCAACAATCACAGGATTTTGGTGCAAGGAGGCCGAAGATGATTTTGTTCTAAAGAGGTCGAATGCTAT